AACTCCATAGAGGCCACGACATCTGCCTAAGTGAAATGATTATGGGGAACCTTTACGAGTCTCTAAGTGAAGGGGTAACCCAACTCAAAGACTTGGGAGCAAAGGGAAACTTGTTATTGTCTGGTCCTTTCTGGCTTTTGCAACTCTGGTTAAATGCCTCGTTTGAAGCTAGCCTTCCTAACAAAAATTCAGTTGATAAAGCTGCTGACGAGATCAAAAATAGGATAATCGAAGGAACACGCTTGGTCCACCTTACGCCCCACGAAGAAGGACAGACCATCAGGCCAATGTTCCTAAGCTACGTCATTATGTTTGTAAAATGTCATGAGTTCACTTTGAACATGACCCCATTTGCTGCAAGAAAACATGGTCCTGAGTGGTTCACCAGATCTTTCCCGATTCCAAAGTATTCCCAAGTCTTTGATGCTAAATCTTTCATCTAAAATGCGTTTGATATGATCAAATTCAGACACAGAAGTTCCAGCTAGGATTATATCATCGACATAGACTAAAATGGATGTGAAGTGTGCATTAGTTTTCAAAGTGAAAAGGGAATAATCAAAAGTAGATTGAGTATACCCCTGTTGGAGTAAAGGGGATGTCATCTTTTCATACCATTTGTGACTAGCTTGTTTCAGACCATATAAACTCTTTTGAATTTTACACACTTGATTGGGCCTTTGACATGAAACACCTTTCAGGTATGATCATGTACACATCTTCCTTCAATTCCCCATGCAAAAAAGCATTGTTAACATCAAGTTGATGTAAGAACTAGTTATTGATGGCTGCAGTCACAAGAAGAGTTCTAACAGTTGTAAGCTTTGTTACAGGTGAAAAAGCATCAAAAAAATCAAGCCCTTCAATTTGGTTGTAGTCTTTGGCAACAAGCCGAGCTTTATACCTCTCTATTGTGCCATCTGCTCTATGCTTTACTTTAAACACCCATTTGTTACCAATTGGTTTGACATGTGGTGGCAAATCAACTATATTCCAAGTTCTATTCTTGTCTAATGCATCTAATTCAGACTTCATGGCCTTAATTCAGTGTTCAAACAAACATGCTTCTTTGTAGTTCTTTGGCTCACGTGTAAGAGTGATATTGGATGCAAAAACTTGATGAGATGCAGACAGAAAATGTAATGAATCATAATTTGAAATAGGATAGAGAATTTTGTTTGTACCTGATGATGACTTGCCTGTTGATGCATCAAATGTATTGCACACATAATCTAAAAGATAATGAGGTGTATGCTTGGCTCTAGCTAGTCTAAGAGGCATGTTGTTATTGTCAATATCAGATGTGTCAGGCACAGATTGAATGTCTTTGTTTGTTTTAGTATTTTCTAAAAATTCAGGATTGATGGTTGTGTTAGGGTGGTGGTCATGTTCCTTAACAGCAGATTCACTACTTCGTGAAGGAACGTGTATAATAGGTTCAGGGTTGATGGTTGTGTTAGGATGGTGGTCATGTTTCTCAATAGCAGATTCAATACTTTGTGAAGGAACAAGTATAGTAGGATCATGTTGTGATGAGTCAGTAGGATCTTTGTAAGGGTGATAGTCCCAATTAATGTAATTGGCATTTGAATAAGGAAAGATGTGCTCATGATGTATGACATTTCTAGAAACAAGAATTGTATGACTGTTAATATCATAGAGCACCACGCCCTTCATACCATTCTTGTATCCTAGGAAAAACACATTTTCGACCTCTCGGCTCAAGTTTTGTTCTATGCACATTTAGTATGGATGCGAAAGCTAGAGATCCAAACACTTTGAGACTATGCATATCAGGATGTGTATTGTGCATTATGAAATGAGGAGAAAGGTTGTTTAAAACTTGTGTAGGAAGTTTATTTATGATGAATGTTGCATGTAAAATGGCATATGACCAGAATATCTTTTGGAGTTTTGACTGAAAAAGGAGAGCTCTTCCAACATTTAATAAATGTTGATGTTTCCTCTCCATTCTACCATTTTGTTGTGGAGATTCAACACAACTTTTCTGATGGATGATTCCCTTAGAAGCATAAAATTCAGGGATGCTGAATTCGGGACCATTATCAGTTCTGATAATTTTGACATGTAGCTTATGTTGGTTTTCTATGAGGTTAATAAAATTTATGACATGCTGTCTAGCTTCAGATTTAGTTTTCATTAAAGTTATCCATGTGTATCTGCTGCAATCATCAACAGCAGTTAGGAAATATGAATGACCATGTAAAGATTGGACTGCAAGGGGCCCCTAAATGTCAAAATGAATCAAGTCATAAGGATGAGCAGCTCTATTGTTACTAACAATATAAGAAAGCTTTCTTTGCCTAGCATAACAACATACATCACAAACATCTTTATGATTTACTGTGATAAAGGGAAATTGAGAATATAAGTAGAAAAGTCTGTTTTGAGATAAGTGTTCTAATCGAAAATGCCATAAGGCTCTATCTGGTAAAGTGACACTGGCTGCTAGAGCAGAGGTGAAGGCAGATGTATGTGTAGTAGGTGAATCCTTATCTCTTAGTGTTAAGTAGTACAATCCATCTTTCTGCTCAGCAGAACCAATCATCTTCAAGGTTATTTTGTCCTGTATAATACTTTGTGAATTGAGGAAATTGACATTGCAATTAGAGAATGCACACAATTTTGAAACAGATAATAGGTTTAAAGAAAATTCAGGAATTAAAAGAACATTATACACAATGAGGTCATAGGAAAAATGAATTGTGCCAGAATGTTTAGCAACAAGGCATTGTCCATTTGGCAATCTAACATTGATGGGAATAATATTCCTATATGAATGAAACCATTTGACATAACTGCATATGTGATTTGAAGCTCTTGAATCAATGATCCAAGAACCATTATTACCATTATGTATGCAATGGTATATGTTACCTGTTGATGAATGACCAACAACAACCTGGTTGGAAGAAGCATGTCCTGAAGATTGACCAATGCTGGATTTCTAGATTAGCTCCATTAGAGCAGTGAATTGACCTTGAGTCATAGGTGAATTGTCACTTTTGGTGTCAATACCATTGGAGGTAGATCCATCATCATAGCCTTCTGATGCCACATTGTTAGTTGAATTTTGAAACTGCTTCTGCATATGAGGTGGTACACCATGTTTCTTGAAACAGTTTTCAACAGTATGATTAGTCTTGCCACAGAAAGTGCAAACACGAGCTCCATGCTTGAATGTATTGTTTTGAGACTCATCATTGGGAATGGTAACCTGAATTTGTCGCTCATGTTGAATAACCATGGAGAATATTTTGTTCATATTGGACAAAGGATCCATTAACAAGATTTAAGACTTAACTACAGCAAATTGATCATTCAAACCAGTCAAGAATCTGATAATTTGCATAAGTTGGTGATTAGATCTTGCACTGCGCATAGCTTCACAAGAACACTTTATGCGACATGTACAAGTGGGTAAAGGTAAATACAAATCTAGTTCTTCCCAAAGAATTTTGAAATTAGAGAAAAAATCAGTCACCGATTTGGTTTCTTGCTTGAGATTATAGATTTCTTGTTGCAGCTCAGAAATACGAATGAAATCGCCCTGAGAAAACCTTTCTTTCAAATAGTTCCATACATCAAGCGCATTCTCCATGAAGACAGTGGACTGAGAAATTGAATATGAAACTGAGTTCATGATCCAAGAATGTACAAGCATGTTGCAACGATTCCAAGCATGCAGAGATGGATCGAAAGAATCAGCAGGAATAGGGAGAGATCCATCAATGAACTCAATTTTCATTTTACCACCAAGAGCTCTCTTCATGCTTCGAGCCCATGAATGGTAGTTGGAACCGGTGAGTTTTGAAAGAACTGTAACAGAACCAGGACCATCACTGGGGTGAACAATGTAAGGTGAGGTTTGATCCAAAGTTGGATCAAGAGATGAAGCTCGAGAAGGAGCCATGGAAGCAGAACTGATAACAAAGAAGGATTCAATTGGATAGCAGCGGAATGAGGATCGAATTGGCAAATAATACCATATTATGATAGAGTTATTCTTCCATTGAAAAAGAAATAACAAAATGAAAAGAAGAGATGAATACTTGAAAAAGAGAGCAAAACTCTCTTATGACTTCATATGTGACATTACAACCTTTATATAGATCACTTCTTATCACATAACAACTAATCTAACTAACTAATAACTACCTAACTAACAATTATTTTATCAACTATAATGATCCACTAATCTATTCTAATCATCTTTCATCTTCTTTGTATTCCTTTCCTTAATGCCGTCTTCTTCCTTATTGGTATTGTTGGATTCGTTAGTTTGCCGAAACAAAGTGCTAGAACTCTCTAATCTCTCGAAAATAGCATTTAGTAGAAAGGGGTTTCCAGAAAAACAACACGCCATAATCCTAAACTATCACTGTAGCAATCCCTAATCCGAAGATTAAAAATTTAAACCCCCACAATAATTCGTCGGTCCAACAAATCTGCAAAACCCTCTCAAATAGAATAAACGTATTTTACATCACATGGTTCACACGAGATATGTTTCCATCCATAGAATACAATAAAGGCACAAATCAACCACTAAATTATTAGAATACCACATGGAGAAAGATAAACTTTTCACACAATGTCGATACCTCTCCCACATCCCTTAAATGCTAATCAACACATCTGCAACCACCTACAGCGCGCTATTTTTGCACAATATTAGCATCTTTCACGTCGGTCAACATCTTAAAAAGTACTGTAAATATAATACTCTCCCACGCTTTTCAACAATGGACGTTGCCGCGTAACACAAAATCAAACAAAAAGAATCAAAAAAAGAAAAGGAAACGCAACGTGTCAACACGAGAGTGGACAACGTGGCACAAGATATTTATCACCGTCACATTCCCGTTCATTATTTATTCACTGGTTCATAACTTCTCTTTTCTTCATTCTTTTCTTTCATTTCATTGCCACTGTATCATCTCACATTTAACCCTACAACTTCTACTACAGTGCAAAAAATGGAAAACGGAGATCAGTTCCAGGAATCAAAATCAAAATACGATTGTCTTTTATTTGGTAAACCACTTCATTTTCTCAATCTAATTTGCTTCATTACTAATTTTAACTGATTTTAGGTTAAATATTTGTAATAACTTGTTTGATATTTGTAGATCTGGATGATACTCTTTATCCTTTTAGTTCTGGATTGTCAAATCACGTGACCGAAAATATTCAAGGTAATTGAAATTAATCAAATTATGATATATGTGATTAATTTGATTCAATTTTGTAGAATTTTTATTTATTTAGTTTTGATGGATTTATTATTGCAGAGTATATGCTAGAAAAGCTTGGGATTCAAGAGGATAAAGTTCCTGAATTATGTGTTTCTTTATATAAGATTTATGGGACAACGATGGCAGGTCTCAAGGTATATTAATTAATTAATTAATTGAACTTTTATTATTTTAATTAAAGGTATTTTTTGTTTTGTTTTGAGGCTGTGGTGAAAGAATCATGATTTTTGTTTTTTTTTGTTCTCTATCAGGCTATTGGTTATGATTTTGACTATGATGACTTTCATAGGTAAGTTAATATTTTTACATTTTTTTGATTTGTTAATTTTTTATTTGGTAATTTATTTGATTAAATAGTTAGAGTTAATATGAAACTTTTTTTTTTTGTTGAACAGCTTTGTTCATGGAAGATTGCCATATAATTTGCTAAAACCTGATCATGTTCTAAGGGGAATTTTGCTAAGTCTACCCTTTCGAAAAATTGTAAGTTTCTTTTCCTTATTTGATTTGATAGCCAAAGTAGCATGTAATATAAAATCTGTTTTTATTGATTTATTTAAGCTTATATCTATTAATATTATGACGGGTAAAATTGTATGCATTAAAAAAAACGGACAGACGCGTGTCCAGCCTGTGAGTGTCCGTCTGGACGCTAGTAGTCATAAATTGTTTTGAGCTTATTTGCATAAGCTCTCTATGATAGCTTATTCAGAAACGGGTTATAACTTATATGAAATCACTTCGATCTTATCTTTTGTTAAAGAAATAGACAAACAATTTATTCATAAACACTTCTATAATTAATAAACATTGATGCTATAACATTTGATTAAGTAGTTCATGATCATATCAGGTCTATAATTCATAAATTATCGCTAATAGTATTTTTGTTTTTCTATAGATATTTACAAACGCAGACGATGCACATGCAAAGAGAGTGCTTCACAGGCTTGGACTAGAGGATTGTTTTGAAAGAATCATAAGCTTTGAGACACTAAATTCATTCAAATCAAATAACTTCAATTCTTCTGGCGGTGAATATAAACAAACTTCCGCAGGAGTATTTGATTTTTATCAGTATATTTGTAATCCTGATGCTGATATTGTTCTTCCGAAGACCCCAGTTGTCAGTAAACCCTTTCAAAATTCATTTGAGAAGGTTTTTAAGATGATAGATGTTGACCCTCAAAGAACGGTAAGCTTTTATCCTTCGCTTATTATCATTTTTCTGATTATGTGCTAACCAATTATGTAACTTCATGTTTTGTAGTTGTTCTTTGATGACAGTATCCGCAATATTCAGACAGGAAAATCGTTGGGCCTTCACACAGTCTTGGTAGGTAGTTCTTGCAGTTGTCGATGAATGAACAAAATATTAATATTAGTAATACTATTATGTTGACACAATCATCCATTTACTTTTCAAACTTTTTTATGCACTGTCTTTCATTTGGTTAAATTGAATAGAACTTCTTACATGTGTTTGTTGAATTTTGACAAATCTATGTATGCACATATTCTTATTCTTGAATTAGGACTTTGCTAATGTACAATTTGAAGACTGAAAATCATTAGCATCATATCAAACTTAAATAGTGTATGAATCAAATTGTGCAGGTTGGTACTTCCCTTAGAACTAAAGGAGTGGATTATGCATTGGAGAGCATCCATAATATGAAGGAGGCATTTCCAGAACTGTGGGAAGTTGATGACAAGAGTAAAAATGTCAAGTATTCTAGAAAGGTTGCAATTGAAACATCAGTTAAAGCTTAACTTATTATATGCATCCACCTTTTGAATTTGTGGTGCCTAATATATTGTTCTGGCATCTAACTTTGACTAATGTACTTGTTATCAGAATACTGATATATTATTTATATATATAAATGAGTTTTTATGAGCCAAGCTTTTATTTTTGTTAGGTTGATGTTTTGGCATTCACATTATTTCCCATTTTATATCGTTTGACAAAGAAATAGATAAGGGAGGACATATTCATCAAGTGACAACAGTTGAGAAATGGGAATAAAGAAGGAAATAGGGAATCATTTAAACACACAATCAGTAAAGTGTATGTTCAATAACACACGAGACTCTTGCTTCCTCGTCTATGAATTGCATCATCCCACACATGAATTAACTTATTAGATTTTTATATTAACTCATTCTTATAATTACAAAACTGATTTTCAAGGTGAAAGTGTCACTCTTTGTCTATGTAAGACTTTATTTTTTAATTTTCAATACACCTCTTTTGTCGGTACTTGTGAAAATTACATCATCAGTGGCCTTGCCTGCAATATGATCAATATCTGTATAAGTGATGTATTTTCTTGGTCTTTTCTGCTATATTTATAGCCATACCTATTTACTCTTGCTTTCATTATTTTGGTTGTTATGATCATTGTATCATTATGGCCATTTAACTATCTTGTTCTTTCATCTGAACCTTAGTTGTGCAATTCTTTTTAAAATTGTTATATAACTCGAAGTTAAGTCAAATTCTTGCCCCAAAGTCGGGATGACCCCGTAATTAGACGACGCTCATGCAACATATTGTGGTGAGCTAACCAACATGACTCGGTGCATGCATCACCTTGCCCACGCTGGTTTAAGTACTCTATGAAGGTCATAATGGTTGGAATATGCTGATATTGAGTAGATTTGAATCCTTATAACCATAATGGCTCCATAGACATGTCAGTTCAAAGTCTCTCAAAAACAGGCTCTAAAGAACGAGGCTTGCAAGAGCGAAGTGATTAAATCAAAAGACATGACGGTTCATAGTCCCTCAAGCACAAGATTTGTAAGGGCAAAGTGATTAAGTATAAAGACATGACGATTCATAGTCCCTTAAACACAAAGCCTGTAAAAAGTCGAAATGTGGAGAAAACCTATGAGTCGGAGTCCCTTAGGTGTCAGACCTGCAAGGGGTAAAGTGCTTTATAAGTTGTCTCCAACCTAGAGTTTGAGACATGTATATATAGTCTTTTTAACTTAATGCCGATATTGTAGCACAATGTGGTTTAAGGAAACATGTCATTTCTTGAGACAAACATCTCGGTCACACCTTAGCAGATCTTGTTTCCTGAGTAATGTAGTTGGCAACTCACCATCGAAGATGTAGTGCAATGTGTCGAGCTTGCCATTAGTTTTTCAAGTCTTCTTCGAACGTTTCATGTGACCTAAAGCGAGTAGATTGAAATTTAAACTATCTTAATATGTGATTCATGGTGTTTTGTTAAGTAAATCACAACCCGACGATATAAAATACTTTACTTGGTGAATACATCTCAACTCAGAGAGTTCATTTAGATGATCTAATTTATGAGCTAAAATGAACATCGAGTTCATCTTCGTCCATATTCAAGGTCGTGCGATTTATCTCGATTTGTTGTTGTATTGAAGGTCAAACAATTTTATACTTCCTCTCAAGATTAAAAAAAGTTTTATTTTAAATACGAATATCAAATGCGTTCAGACATGTCATTAATATAGCTCACCCATTAACTTCATTTGATAATGTCTCACCTATTAGTTATATTCAAGCATGAAGTTGATATATTTCACGTACGGGAGTTTGGGTGATTTTGAACGACGATGTTTGCTTTTTGTTGATTTGTCATTGTCGAGATGAATATATATATTACGACATATATAGTGAATTTTCCCGTGTTAGGTTTAATATGACACGTCCTCCTTAAAATGAAATAATACACCGTAAGACTTGATGATACTTCGAAAGACACAATGACACCCTAAAAGGTAAAATAATATTGCAAAGTTTCGTGTTTGATTCCTACTACTTGAAAGATGAGAACAATTAGCTCATTGGCGACTTGTTAGCTTTTCAATTCTCGTGATAGCTCCATTACTTTTTCCCATTAATGATTTACCAAAGTTTTTTATGATCATTTTTAAGTGCCTTCATATATGCTCCAACCTTTTCAATATTAACATTGTTTTCTATGACCATGATCAGGTATTTCAACTCCTTTTACTTTATTTTGTGATGCACTTTCAAGTCAAGAGGTTAAATGATAATAGGAAAATTCATTGAACTTTCTTTCCATGTGTTCAACTTTTCTTGAAGATTTTTTAGACCACCTCCAAAGATGTTTTTTCAAATTGGTTTGTCAGCTTGGCATTGAAATTGTCAACAAAAAGTTGTTCAAGCTGGTGAACGTTACAAACATAAGCAATGGTTCTTCATTTTTTTTATTATTAAAATAATTATTTAAATTTAATAAAAAGTTATTTATTTTTATTTTTATGGTTCTTCATTTTTTTATTGTTTTTTATTGTTTTTTAATTATGTGACATTTATTTAAATTTAATTTTAATTATTATTTTCAATTTTATGTTTAATTTTAATTTTATGTTTAATTTGTATTTATATTTAATTAAAATTTAAATATTTAAATTATAATTTTAAATAAAATAAATTTAATATAAATAATATATTTTAAGTAAAGTGGTGGGACCCAATATGAGTTCTTTGGAGTTGCATCATTGGAGTGAAAATTGAATGAGTTGCTTTAAAAGAATGGATCCCACAAAGAACCTAAAAATGAGTTGCACCATTGAAGGTGCTCTTAGATTCATTATTGGTGCTTCTGATTAGAAACTAAGAGCACCTCCAACGGTGGTTTTTCAAATTGGTTTGCCAGCTTGACATTGAAATTGTCAACAAAAAGTTATTCCAGGTGAAGGTTACAAACATAAGCAATGGTTCTTCATTTTTTTATATTAAAATAATCATTCCAGCGGGTGACATGTATTTAAATTTAATTTTAATTATTATTTTCAATTTTATGTTTAATTTTAATTTTATGTTTAATTTGTATTTATATTAATTAAATTTTAAATATTTAAATTATAATTTTAAATAAAATAAATTTAATATAAATAATATATTTTAAGTAAAGTGGTGGGACCCAATATAGGTTCTTTGGAATTGCACCATTGAAGTGAAAATTGAATGAATTACTTTAAAAGAGTTGGTCCCACAAAGAATTTAAAAATGGGTTGCACCATTGGAGGTGCTCTAAAGTTTTACAAATTCATACTCTACTATCTGCCTCTTTGATTGGCCAAACCTTTTCAACTTCCATATATTCATAGACAAAATTTTATAATCTATAACATATATAAAGGCAATACTTGGTTTTTGGTGTAGCTTTTTTTTATACCAAATTTACTCTTATTTTAAAATATATAACTTACACAATAACTTCCATTGAACTACTACTATCATCTTTCATATAACTCCCTACTAATAACTTCCCACATAACTTCCATATAAAATTAATATTAAATAAAAATATATCATTTATATTTATATGTGTGCAATAAAAAAGCGGACAGACGGGGTGCTAATACCTCCCCCCTGCGTAACGGACTCCCAAACCCGAAACTTGGTTGCGACAGCCCTGTTCCTATCCTTTCGTTTTAAGAGGTTTTCTCGATATTTTCCTCTCTCGCTTATTCAGGATAAATAAAGTTTGGTGGCGACACTGTCGAACCGCATTTCCGCGCCTTTCGCGCGAGGGTCGTTCCTCCGAAATGTCTTCGTGATTTTTTAAGGTGCGACACATAAATCAAATTGCTTCAACGCTCATGCTGGGGTAAGCTACTTCAAGAGTACGTTGAAGTCAATCACTTTAAGAGTCGGTTAATCAAGGATAAATCCATTTAAGGCTCAAATTTATGGGACAAGACATCTCAAGGTCATCTCATGGCAAGCTACCTCCAATCTCTCTTTTAAGGGAAATTCTCCAAAGACCCTTCCAAACTGGGGCAAGTTGAACTAAAACTATGGAAATTCCTCTCCGTGCTTTCAAGCTCATCAAGCAAACTCTTTCGAGCTCAAAACGAGTGTTGGGGAATCATGTTATTAGCCTAACCAACCAAATCACCCTTATCAAACAAAAGCCTTGCTATAAAAGACCCTCAATCCGTTTCTAGAAACCTTCATATCATTGTGTAAATCATCTTCATGCACTAGTCGTGTCGCGTCACTCACGCATAAAGTCCTATATATCATCTCATTCATCGAGCCTATCCCACAACGTGAAGCTAATAAGCCAAAAAATCCTTGTAACACAAATCACTTCTAAACCAGTTCTCGTCTGGTCACTTTTTTCTTTAGCCTACCTTTAGACTCCAGTTCCTGTCTGGTAGTCATTTTTCCTTTCAAAGTCCAATTCTCGTCTGGAAAACCAAAAAAAAAGAAAAAAAGAGAAAAGTCAGTTCCCGTCTGATAATAAAACAAGGAGTCAGTTCTCGCATGACAACTTAACCCTTTTGCCACCTCACTGGTAATTCACCAGTTCTCGTCTGGTAATTCACCTTCAAAGCCCAACCTCACTTGGCACCTAAAACAAAATTCCAACTATACCTGACACGCTCATCACCCATAACCTTCATATCCTTACGTCCCCGACATTTTTGCATACATCCTGCATCATTACATACGTACTTAGCCAGTCATTCTCAAAGATGTGAATTTCCTGTGGACATCCTGGTAGGATCCTTTAAGAGTGTTTATCCCTTCACTTACCTTTTGTAAGTCTTTCCGAGCCTTTTGCATGAGATATCTTCTCACCTTACCTTTCGTAAGGGATTTCATTGTCTTTTGCATGAAATCTTACCTTTTTGTTTTCCTTTCGTAAGCGTCTTCTCTATCTTTTACACACGACAAAACTTTGTTTTGAGTATCTTCGATCAATTTGGACACTAGATGCCTATGTGGCCAAGAACTGAATGGTCGC